TACAAATGGAGAAAATTTTTGATAGACATGGCTAAATATACTCAGAATTTGATAGAGTATTTTGCTTTTTTGTTGTAAGTTGTTTAAGCAAGAGGGGAAATAAGACTTCCAATTGCTATCGAAGGATTTAAAGACTGGCAAAAATGTTGGTGAGAAAACTTAAAGGACATTGAATGTTGGTAACGAGGCACAATTACTTGCATGAGCAAATGGGAAAGTTAGAGGAAAGATTGGGAATAGCCATCAAACAATAGATAAAAGTATACAAGAAACAAGTTAACAAGAAAGAGAGCACTTTGCAGACGGGTTTATTTGATGATAATTACAGTTGTGAAAACACTTTGCCAAGAATAAATTTGCCTTTTCGTGGAAGCCATGAGAAGATTTAATGAAGAGAGCCATGGACTTTTTATAAGCATAAATGAAATGATTGGGTGAGTTTGATTCAAACGATGGAACAGCACTTCGCGGTAGATAGAAGCAAGTGGATAAGATTCATTACCTCCTATTTGATCCTCTTCCGCGTTGTAGGAAAAAAATGTGGCCGAGGAAGTCAAAAAGTGCAATTTTGTCATAATCTGAGCGTGAGCGAAACAGCTCTCAAGTCACTATAATCTAATACAGAGGATATACTATAAAGCACTCATAAGATTCAAATAGTCTCTTTCGCCTCGTTATAGATGTGCTGGATAGTTCCTCAAATCCATTCCTCCTTCATACATCTACATATATGTCCTCACATACACATACTTCTCTTTGGGTTGTGTTTTGTTGAGAAGAAGAATTATTGAAACATCCACACATCATACAGCAAGAGACATTTGTTCTTGATGGCTTATATCCAGAATACAATCAAGTATGACTGAAAAGTATTTTTGCTAGTTCGATTATAGACAAATATTTTTTGACTTCCTCGGCCAACATTTTTATCACAGCGTTTAAATTTTGTGACTCAAATTGGTAATGAATCTTATCCTTTTCTATCTACCGCAAAGTGCTGTATTGATCAAACTCACCAATCATTTCATTTATCTTATAAAAAGTCCATGGCTCTCTTCATAAATCTTCTCATGGCTTCCACGAAAAGGCAAATTATTCTTGGCAAGTGGTTTCACAACTGTAATTATCATCAATAAAACCCGTCTCAAGTGCTCTCTTTCTTGTTAACTTGTTCTTGATACTCTTTATCTATTGTTTGATGCTTCTCACTCATCTTCCTCTAACTTCCATTTGCTCATGCAGTAATGTGCACTCATGTTACCCTTCAGTGTCCTATCATCCAACCACATTTTGCCAGTCTTTAATATCTTCGATAGCGCAACTTATCTTATCTCTCTTGCTTAACAACTTACAACAAAAGCAAAATACTCTATTCAAAAGTTCTGAGTATATTAGCCATGTCCTAATCAAAATTTTCTCCATTTGGTAAATGCCGAATGTTAATGAACATGTGAGAAATGCCTATGCCTAGAAGAATCATTCCTTAGGGAAGTTGAACTCATAATTTCTTCTCACAGGACCTTTTTCAACTAAAAAATCTCATAAATTCTTGTTAATTTTTCCAAGTTCCCAAATCATCTATATTTGAATGCTTACATTCCACATTCATCTCATCATCTTGATTGGCTTCTACAACTCCCAATTCCCATTTCCTTCTTCATCCACCAAATTTCATTCTCATTATTCACCAAAGTTTCAAATTCTTCATTATTCAAGTCTTCAAACTGATTGTTCTGCTTGTTTGTCACTTGTAAAGAACTTATCAATAGCTCCTGTTTGACACGTCGACCAATTTTTTGACTCTTGCCTTCTTTTTCCTTTTTGCAAATCCAGGCAGATAATTTCTTTTAAGAGCATGATGAGCTGAGATCAAAATACTTTTTAGATCAAATTCAAAACCAAATAGCACCACCACACTTAACAAAAACACAAACTTTTAAATTATGTGATGTGAACTTTAAATTAAGTTTAAACTTTTATTAAACTTAAACAAATTCTTCTTGATGATGTAATTACCAATATTATAATAGAAATAAGAAAAAGACAATACAAATATTTAATTAATTGAATAGAAAAAAAAAAGACCTACTTAGTGCTTGTTGTGCTGCTGCTGCTCCGTGTGCTCTGTTTGTGTGTTGCTGCTCCGTTACTTTGTTGGGCTGCTTGCTGCTTCAAACTGTTGAAAAATTAGATTAAGAGTAGTTAGGGTTAGGATTAGATAGGGAGAGAGAATGTGTCATTTTAATTTTAATGGGCTCTTCAAATTTTTAATGGATCATTTATTTTAAGTTAATTTAAGTTTTTTTTTTAAATTTATTTTAATTTAAAACATACCTAATATATAACATTAAATTAAAGTAAATTAAGGCCAGGTTTGGCATCTACTAAATAATACAAAAAGTCAAAAAGTTACTATTCTATAATACACATCTATTTAAACACATCACCTCTCTAACACATCACATCCAACCCAAACCACATATAAGTCAATAAGTTAAAAAAGTGCACTTTTTATAAATCCCAAGCCAACCCTAAAGTACGAGAGTTCTTTTCTTTTTGAAGTACCCTAACCCATGGCCTAAGGGCCCTATGTCAGCGTTGGTCCTGCTGCTCAGGTTAGGGTTGTAGTGTAGTGTAGTGAAGTGAGTAAGCTATCTGTCTTGTCTCTACGACTAGGAGATTTATATCTGAAAAACAAATGGAGATATCGCAAGAAGAGATTGGGCTGGCAAATCAGATTTCGGAACTGGAGAAGCAAATGAGGCTATGAAGAAATCGAATTTCGAACTTATGCGTCCAGATTTGAGTGAGGATCGGAAAAACATTTGGGAGATAAGTTGAGGAAGGAAATTCAAGAGATCAAGTTGGGAGAGTTTACTCCCGGAAGCTAGGGAATTTGATCCCAAGACTCAACAATCTCAGTATAACAAATTAGAGGCTCAAGTTGCAGCACTCGTATCAGAGTGCCAGGCTTGCATAGTTACCGAAAATAAGCTGCAACTAGACCTAAATGTGCAAGACGACAAAAATCATTTGACTTCTGAACTTGTGAGTTATTTTGTCTCTCATTTTGCTCCTTTGTGCTTTGGTTTTGTAGGAAAATATAAGAAATATTATGCCTCAGAAATAAACGGATTTGATATACCTTCTCATTTCAAACCAAATCCATAGATCATACGTGTTTCTATTGATATTTTTGAATAATTCTTAGCAATGGGGTAGATCTATTAGATCCACACTTCCTTACAGCATTATGTGTTTTTATTGATATTTTTAAATAATTCTTAGCAATGAGAAAACTATTAGAACTTACTCACACTCGTCACAGTACAAAGGGCTATTATGTGTTTTATGGAGAGAGAGAAGAGAGTCTAGAGAGAGAGAAGAAAACATATTAAATTCTTATTTCTTCCAATATAATACGTATATTACGTGGGAGAGTTATACTAAACTATCTAAAAGCACCCTACCCTACATTAAATGCATGTCGTAGTCAGTACATTCTACGCATTTTTTTTTTTGCAAGCTGTTAATGTTTTGTCAATAACAATATACATACCAATGTAAGTCATTAATTCATATATTTATAGCATGCAAAAGTATGCCGTAAAAAATGTATATTTTCATGGCATACAAAAATATGTCATAAAATATTTGTACTTAAGACGACATACATTTCATGTTGTAAAATATTATAACTTTACACGACATGTATTAACATATCGTGAAAGCTTTTGCAAAAAAAAAAAAAAATCAATCTGAATTTTTTTTTTATGGCATGCAAAAGTATGCCGTAAAAAATGTATATTTTCATGGCATACAAAAATATGTCTATAAAATATATTGTACTTAAGACGACATACATTTCATTTGTAAAATATTATAACTTTACACGACATGCATTAGCATGTCGTGAAAACTTTTATTAAAAAAATTTCAATCCGAATTTTTTTTTTTTAAAAAGAATTTTAAACCAAGCTTCTCACCTTACATTTTCCTAATTGAGGACATGTAAAAAAAATAATTTATACGTTATTTTATAATTTAGTGTCTCTTTTGAGGGATAATTGCACCCAGTGGGATTTTGCGATAAAAAATACATATTCATAAAAAAGTTTATAATTTTAATAATTAATATTTATTTGGCTTCTCATTAATTTGTAATTATTTTTTTTAAATTACCTTAATTTGATATTTTTCCTTCTTTTAATAATTTATTTATTTTTTACTTTTTATGATGTGCCTAATCTGAATACAACAAAAAATAAAATATTTGTAAAATATATAATAAAATGTAATATATATGAAATGTATTAAATTTTATATTTTTTTGAATTTAGTGATTTTTTTAAAAAATTAAAAAATATTTCCTTTTAACTATATGTAGATTATTTGAATTTAAAAAGTAACAAAAAATTATTTATAATATTTATTTAAAAAAAAATTATTTATAATATTTAAAAACTTGCTCAATTAACATTGCCCGTTACTCTCTCACTAGAGATGGCAATCGAAATCCGGCCTGATAGGGACCCGATCCTCCGACTCCAAATTAAACAGTTATTTCTCAAAAATATTTCCAACGGGTCAAAATGATATTAAAAATTAAATCTCCGAAGATATTCCGGCCGGGATACATGTTTCACCCAGCCCCGGCCCCTGTCCCCCGCCTGGCTGCCCCGACATAAATTTACTATTTTGCCCTGTCCATACATTAAACATATGTGCGTATGGGTTTGGCTGAGACCACTCACACACAACACACACTGACAGCGCTCTGCTCTCTCTCTCTCTCTCTCTCTATTTATCTAGGGTTTCCCTTCCTCTCTCTCTTTCACACTCCGACGCGCCGATCCTCCGCCAATCCCCCTCACCGCCGCTCGCACCTTTCTGTCGATCCTCCTCCCTCACCGCCGCTGCTGGTTAGAACTTAGAGCTTCGCCTCCGCCTCCCTCTCTCTCTCTCACACACGACGGCTCCTCGCCCCTCACCGCCACTCCTCCCTCGCCGGCGATCCTCCTCACCGTCGATTTCAAAGGGTATCTCTCTCGGGATTTCGATATTGGGGGTTTACATACACACACATATATATGTATATGTGTGTGTATATAGTATCTCTGTTCTTTGATTCGATTCGATTTTTTTTTCATAGTATCTCTGTTCTTTCGACCTCTGTTTTTTTTTTTCTCTCTAAATTTATTTATTTAAATATTATATATTATAATATATATATATATGATATGGTTTTTAATCTTTAATAATCTTTAATTTGAATCTTGCACATATCTGTTTTGAATCTTTAATAATCTTTAATTTGAATCTTGCAACGTTGATACTGTATTATTATCTTTAATTATGTTGAATCTTGTCACATATCTGTTAATTTATTAATTTACCTTTGATGCTGAACTGTATTATTGATTTGAATATTTGACAGATTTTTAATTCCCGATCGGGGCTGGGATGGGGCTGGGCTATGGGTCCCTCGGGGATCGGGGCGGGGACGGGAGTATATCACTTTCGGGGATCGGGGATGGGAAGTGTAGTCCCCGGCCCCACTTCGCCCCGTTGTCATCCCTATCTCTCACTCACTCTCTGGGTCTCGATCTCTCTCTCTCTCTCAACCCTCTCCAAACCCTATTCTGTCTCAACCGATCGAATCAACCTTCTTCAACCCCGTTTGATCTAATCTCAGAGTGATTGGTGATTCATCTCAGATCCAATCTCAGAGCGATTTACAATTTCGATTTTGAGATTTCGAAACTCCCCCGCCTCCACCATCTGCACCGGCGATAGGAGCGAGCACCATCGTCTACGAAGGTGAGCACTACCGTCTCTCTCTCTCTCTCTCAGTTTCATATTCTCTTTCTCTCTCTCAAGCTCTTCCTTCCCGTCGAGTTTGGTCAGATAACGAAACCAGGGCATTTTATTTAAGAATTTCGTTGTTTGAGCAATTTTCTGTATAATAATTTGTTGATGGAATCTCAATTAAATTCCACTCCAGTTTTCCTGTTTCATGTTCATACTTCTTGATGGAATCTCAATTAGTTGTATTTTGTGTGTAGAGGATTACTATTTGTGACTAGATATTTGGAAAATGATATTCATCAATTCTTTTTGCGTTCACTTCAATGTAATTGTAATTTAAAGCTTCAATTTGTTTCTCTCTCTCTCTATCTGTACCCATTTGGCGTTGTCTGTTGCGTCCAAGTCACAGCAACCTCTTGATTTGCCTTTCGGTCTGGTGAGTTAATTATCTGATGAAATTTTGAAATTCTGCTAAGTAGAGGACTAGTCCTGAAATTCCAAGAATTTTGCAGAGGTTCACAGAAAAATTATTTGATGAAAATTTGCAGAACTTGACAGAAGTTGTTGAAGAGTTCATGGTGAGGATAATGGAAACAATATGTTGAAGAACTAGATGGGAATGGGATATAATCAATCCGTAGGGACTTGTATATGTCTGACATTGTTGTGAAGAATCATTGTACACAAATTTATTGTAAAGAAAATTAATGTAATTTCTTGAAAATTATTGAACTGACTATATATATTCATTAATATGAGTTTGCAAATTAGGGGATGAAGTGTGTGCTTGAAGTACTAGTTACTCTTATAATTGCTATCTATTAGTTAATAAGAAGGTCAACATGAACAAGTCCGTCTCAACAAGCATCAATGCATCATGTGATAAATTATTTATGAAGCTGATAATCCAATCCTACTCAATTTTATTAAATTATTATGAACCAAAAAGTCATACAAAGTCTGCTCATGTCACCCTTTGCGTGTAAGAATTTTCTATGAGCCCATGGAACCTTTATAATTACGTAGAAGAGGCGGTCCACGGTGGTGGGAGTGGTGCCAAGGAGCTTTAGTGTTGGGATGGGGAGGATTGATGAAGAGAGGCCTTGTGAGTTTGGGGATAACAATTACAACGGTGTTAATGTTAGGAAGGAGTTGTTTGTCCTAGAAGCAGAAGTTATGCTGTCACAAAAGTGCTGTTGCCTTTTGATCCTTTTCTTCTCTCTGCCATTTTTCCTTTTGCCCTTTTCTCAATTTAATTTTTTTTGTTTAAAAAAAAAAAAAACTCAGAATTTTAACATTTCAAATTCTGAGTATTTTTTAAAATATATATATAATATATATATTTTTTGGGGGAATGTAGGATATAAATATGGGGGATTGAATAAATCTTCTTTTCTTTACCTGATTGTTTGTTTGTTTTATATGTCTATGAAAGCTGGTTGTTGTTAATACAAGTGAAGTGGGGTCCTAGCTCCACCATATCTGTTGTATTCTTGCTTAGGATTTCAATGTTGGTTTTCTGAATTCAATACATGTACCTAGGTTGCTTATATTTCAATTTTGCAACTGTAGGGATCTCATTGAAGCTAGGGATTCTGAATACAAGGCATGGGCTCATGTTCAGACCTTGAAGTCCTCTCTTGATGAGCAAACTCTGGAATTGCAGGTTAAAATATCAATTGGAGCTGAGGCCATCTCTCATGTTCAGTTATTTTATGGTACAGTTTATATGTCAATTGTTTCATCTATATTACCCTTTGGTACTAACTTAAGTTCATATGGATGTAGAGCATTGGCATTCTTTAGTTCATTTATATAGGTGCTACACATGATTGCAATCCTTTATTTTTATTTTGGTTTTGTTTTGTTCTCTCCAGCATTATATATATATATATATATAAGAAACCTGAAGACATTTTTTTATCTATGCTATTTCGGGGAAAAGTCCGGGCTTCTAGATATCTTGAAATCCAAACATGAGGAAAATGAAGCCTACATATCTGAATTAGAGGTTAGGTTTCTGCTCTGTTATATGGGAGAGCATTTTGTCTTCAATGTGTTTGTGAAGTAGGCCAGAGGTTATTGGTATTGTTTCTCTTCATGTAATTTTAAATAGGCCTGAGATTATCATTTTCACTTTTGTCTTCGTTATCTTTCAGGCAAAGTATAACTGGGATCAACCTTTTAATAAATATTTCACTAGATTAGGGCATAACTGCCCTAAAAATTTAATAAATATTTCATATACTTTACATATGATTTAGGGTTGGTTTGGGATGTCCTAAAAAAGTGCACTTTTTGACTTATTGGTGGGTTTGGATTGGGTTTGGGTTGGGTTTGATGTGATGTTTAGAGAGGTGATGTGATTTAAATAAGATGATGTGACTTAAATAAGATAGTGACTTTTTGACTTTTTGACTTATTTAGTACATGCCAAACTAGCCCTTAATTTTGTGTAAATTCCTAAAAGAATCATAACATAACAGGTCAACTTTTTTAAAGCAAAAGTAAGTATGGGGGACATTGGCAAGTGTAAATTCAGGCTTCATATGTATAACATTGAACTACCACTACAAGTAGTTTAAATTCCTAAACTTTTGAAGCTTCAACAAGCCAAAAGTAGTTTCATATGCAAATTTATCTACCACCAAACTTGTTGGAAATTGGGTCGGATTTAAAATCCATTCCTGATTGGATCGCTCATGGTACTATGATCTCAGACCCATAAAGAGAGACCTAGTCGAAGTAGCTTGTGTGATTAACCCACTATCTCATCGCTTGATAAGATAGAGTTATGGGTGTTATAACTCTCCCACATAATATACGTATTATATTTGGAAGAATAAGAATTTAATGTTTTTCTCTCTCCTAGACTCTTGTTTCTCTTTCCATAAAAACACATAATAGCCCTTTGTACTGTGACAAGTGTGCGTAGTTCTAATAATTTTACTCCATTGCTAAGAATTATTTAAGAATATCAAGAAAACACATAATAGCCCTTTGTACTGTGACGAGTGTGGATAGTTCTAATAGTTCAACTCCATTGCTAATAATTATTCAAAATATCAATAGAAACACGTATGATCTATGGATTTGGTTTGAATGAAAAGGTATATCAAATCCATTTATTTCTGAGGCATAATATTTCTTATTTTTCCTACAAAACCAAAGCACAAAGGAGCAAAATGAGAGACAAAATAACTCGCAAGTTCAGAAGTCAAATGATTTTTGTCGTCTTGCACATTTAGGTCTAGTTGCAACTTATTTCCGGTAACTATGCAAGCCTGGCGCACTTTGATACGAGCACCTGCAACTTGAGCCTCTAATTTGTTATACTGAGATTGCTGAGTCTTGGGATCAAATTCCCTAGCTTTCGGGAGTAAACTCTTCCCCAACTTGATCTCTTGAATTTCCTTCCTCAACTTCATCTCCCAAAATGTTTTTCGATCCTCACTGAAATCTGGACGCATAAGTTCGAAATTCGATTTCTTCATAGCCTCGTTTTGCTTCTCCAGTTCCGAAATCTGATTCGCAGCCCAATCTCTTTTGTGATGTCTCCATTTGCTTTTCAGATATAAATCTCCTAGTCGTAGAGACAAGACAGATAGCTTATTCGCTTCACTACACTAATGGCCTATGTCAGCGATGGTCCTGCTGCTCAGTTAGGTTGTAGTGTAGTGCAGTGAAGTGAGTAAGCTATCTGTCTTGTCTCTACGACTAGGAGATTTATATCTGAAAAACAAATGGAGATATCGCAAAAGAGATTGGGCTGGCAAATCAGATTTCAAAACTGGAGAAGCAAAACGAGGCTATGAAGAAATCGAATTTCGAATTTATGCGTCCAGATTTGAGTGAGGATTAGAAAACATTTTGGGAGATGAAGTTGAGGAAGGAAATTCAAGAGATGAAGTTGGGGAAGAGTTTACTTCCAGAAGCTAGGGAATTTGATCCCGAGACTCTGCAATCTCAGTACAACAAATTAGAGGCTCAAGTTGCAGGCACTCGTATCAGAGTGCGCCAGGCTTGCATAGTTACTGGAAATAGCTGCAACTAGACCTAAATGTGCAAGAGGACAAAAATCATTTGACTTATGAGCTTGTGAGTTATTTTGTCTCTCATTTTGCTCTTTTGTGCTTCGGTTTTGTAGGAAAAATAAGAAATATTATGCCTCAGAAATAAATGGATTTGATATACCTTTTCATTCAAACCAAATCCATAGATCATACGTGTTTCTATTGATATTTTTGAATAATTCTTAGCAATGGGGTAGATCTATTAGAACTATCCACACTCGTCGCTGTACAAAGGGTTATTATGTGTTTTTATTGATATTTTTAAATAATTCTTAGCAATGGAGTAAAACTATTAGAATTACTCACACTCGTCACAGTACAAAGGGCTATTATGTGTTTTTATGGAGAGGGAAAGAGGAGTCTAGGAGAGAGAGAAAACATATTAAATTCTTATTCTTCCAAATATAATACGTATATTGTGTGGGAGAGTCATAACTCTATCTCGTCAAGCGATGAGATAGTGGGTTAATCCAAGGTACTTTGACTAGGTCTCTCCTTATGGGTCTTAGGTATGCTACCATGAGCGATCCAATCAGGAATGGATTTTAAAATTCCTAAACTTTTGAAGCTTCAACAAGCCAAAAGTAGTTTCATATGCAAGTTTATCTACCACCAAACTTGTTGGAAATTGGGTCGGGTTTAAAATCCATTCCTGATTGGATCGCTCATGGTAGCATGACCTAAGACCCATAAAGAGAGACCTAGTCGAAGTACGCTTGTGTGATTAACCCACTATCTCATCGCTTGACGAGATAGAGTTATGGGTGTTATAACTCTCCCACATAATATACGTATTATATTTGAGAAGAAAGAATTTAATGTGTTTTCTCTCTCCTAGACTCTTGTTTTCTTTTCCATAAAAACACATAGTAGCTCTTTGTACTGCGACGAGTGTGCGTAGTTCTAATAATTTTACTCCATTGCTAAGAATTATATTAAGAATATTAATGAAAACACTTAATAGCCCTTTGTACTGTGACGAGTGTGCGTAGTTCTAATAATTTTACTCCATTGCTAAGAATTATTTAAGAATATCAATGAAAACACATAATAGCCCTTTGTACTATGACGAGTGTGGATAGTTCTAATAGTTAACTCCATTGCTAAGAATTATTCAAAAATATCAATAGAAACATGTATGATCTATGGATTTGGTTTGAATGAAAAGGTATATCAAATCCATTTATTTCTGAGGCATAATATTTCTTATTTTTCCTACAACCAAAGCACAATGGAGCAAATGAGAGACAAAATAACTCGCAAGTTCAAAAGTCAAATGATTTTTGTCGTCTTGCACATTTAGGTTAGTTGCAGCTTATTTCCGGTAACTATGCAAGCCTGGCGCACTTTGATACGAGCACCTGCAACTTGAGCCTCTAATTTGTTATACTGAGATTGTTGAGTCTTGGGATCAAATTCTCTACTTTCGGGAGTAAACTCTTCCCCAACTTGATCTCTTGAATTTCTTTCCTCAACTTCATCTCCCAAAATGTTTTTCCGATCCTCACTCAAATCTGGGTGCATAAGTTCGAAATTCGATTTCTTCATAGCCTCGTTTTGCTTCTCCAGTTCCGAAATCTGATTCGCCAGCCCAATCTCTTCTTGCGATGTCTCCATTTGCTTTTCAGATATAAATCTCTTAGTCGTAGAGACAAGACAGATAGCTTACTCGCTTCACTACACTAATGGCCTATGTCAGCGTTGGTCCTGCTGCTCAGGTTGGGTTGTAGTGTAGTGCAGTGAAGTGAGTAAGCTATCTGTCTTGTCTCTACAGACTAGGAGATTTATATCTGAAAAACAAATGGAGATATCGCAAGAAGAGATTGGGCTGGCAAATAGATTTCAGAACTGAGAAGCAAACGAGGCTATGA